TGTTGAAGAAGGCAAGCGCGATTTTCCCCATGAATTGGAAAACGATGCACAGTAGACTGTGAAGCTACAGAAACTATTCATAGAAGAATAAAGATTACTTACAACGCAGATTCCGTAATGCATGTGTAAAAGTACAATCACCGCATTCGAAACTCGAAGCACAATCAGCTCCACGCTCGGTATCAACACCGATATGACTAAACAAATATTTTCAGAATGGAAATTTATTTCAATCCTCTCCAGATAAGATAGTCCTGAACAATATTTGTCGCGGTTTATGATGATAGTTGAGAAAACAATGTGGCCGTGGTGACGTGATGAGCAGCGCACTCGCAAGGGAAGCGTGAGGCTCATGTCCCGCCTGGGATCACTACTTTTACTTATAGCTAAGTATTCTTGTCTTTTTTGTTAGGTATGAAGGACATGTCCGCACAGCGAACAAAAGAGCTTTTTCACTCAAAGGCTCTGCTCGCTTTTCCCACGAACTGGGTGCTTTGGCTTTGGCTAGTCGCCAAATTGTGCTTCAATCGTGTAAGCGCAGTGCACAAAACGGCGAAGCGATAGGGCGTAAAAGACAGTTGGGCAGAGCCCAGCGGTGGTCGTGTTTTCTACCAATAGCTGACGGCTCAAAAATGCCACTATTGGTAGGGAACGCGGCCGCCGCTGAGCTCCTTCCTCCTCCTGACGCCCCACTGCATCGCTATATTATGCTCGTTAGAGACAGTCCCCACGCTCGAGCAAATCGTAGGCGTCCTTTCTGTACAAGTAGTCTGGTCCTCACTCTCTAAGACTGTCCCACTTTCGCGGCTTCGTAGTAAGTAACGACGGCGCCATGGCCATCATAAGTGCTGTTCAGACGCCTCAGTAGTTGCCCCACGCAGCGAAAATCAAAGGCTATTCACTGCCACGAGTTCAGTTTACACAGGCGTTTTTTATTTTTTACTGCTAGATGGTACTAGCACTGGTCTACGCGAAGAAATAATCAGGGAGCCAGAGCCAGCAGATATCTCTTTCCTGGAATGAAACGAGCAGGTCCGGAATTCGCCCACAGAGGCTGCCAGGTCCTTACTTAGGGTATACTTGTTCATATTTTTTGCTTTTTCTTCTCTGAAGGGTCCTCTGGCGACTATAGGTTCGTAGTTGAACGTCGCTATCCACAATATACATCCGCAAAATATGTCTTTAAACTAGTCTTGAAAACAGTACTTAATGCTCCAGTACTTAATCTATTCAACGAGAGATGTTCCGCCACTTCGTTTATTATACGTATTTTGCTTACATTCAAGCACTTCAACAATACAGATTCAATCAATATACACTCCTTATCCCTGAGACGGAGTAGGCGTGGCATTTTAACCAATGCATAAGATGGGCTTACTCATGAATATTTCAAGTTTTAGACAACTGTAATCTTATTTGTGTTCGATACAGACGCACCCAGTAGTTGTGTCAAAATGAGAATATCAGCACAAGAAGGAAATGCGCAGCTCATTCTAGCTGCAATGTACGCAGCTGCACGGCCTACTCGACATCTCAGGATTTTGAGTGTATAAAACGACAAACCTGCCACGAATGTGTAGATCGCAAGTAGCACATTCAAAACTTCAGATCGATGACTAGACATTTGTGCGATTATTAGACGACACTGAAATAACGCATCTCGCATTCGTTCTAAGACTCTTATATACAGTACATTCAGTAATCTCACGTCAGAAAAAGCTAGCACGGTACAATCTAAGGGCACGTCTTGTTTGTTGGGAAGGGTAAGTATAAAGAAAGGATACAAGGATAATGAATAAGGAGAGAGAGGAGAAGGCAAGGGAAAACCCTGGATTGAACCGTAACTTTTTTGTTCATAAGTGGAAAAAAAGAGTATTTGAAAGTGAAGCGAGGCATACTTCGCTCGGTTCAAGTTTCAGTATAAAGAAATTCAAACGAGCAAGGGGTACAGCAAGCGGAACTCCTGACAACTTTTTCGCTCGTGTAATTATCCCATTTCCTTTATAGGGTAGATCTTACATTCGGAAAGGATTCCTAAAAGCGATGAAATTTGCTTTCGTTTTGTTGGGGAGATATCACTGCGATTTTCAACTTCCAAAGTATAAGCCGCACTTTTGCTTTTGCCGCTGATTTTCATCTTCGAGAATCAAGTCTTTAGAAATTGAGCATTGAACAGCTTCCAAGCCACCTGCGCTTACACCACTATCCAATTTCCGGAAGACCCTCTCCGCTCCTATACCCAACAGACAATATTCAATACCAATTTTAGGCCATAGATAGCTGGGTAATGTCCGCTACTGCTACCATATGCAGGAGAATGTGTGTATCGACTTAACAGGCCAATTATCAGAGAATAAAAATAAAAAAGAATAATAATCACTTTCGAAAAGGGAAAGGTGCAAAGATACTCGGAACTCACCGCAATATTACTGAATACAGTACCCATAGCAAAGAAGAATGTTCGTGGATCTGTCCTGCACACATCCGTACGGGATAGCACAGCCCACGCTACTGAGACAGCAAATAACATAACACAAGGGAATACCGGACGCACTGCTTCACACAAAGATTTCTAAAAAAGGAACTTTTGAAGAGTGTACCTCAAGACACTAGAAGTCAGCAAAAAGCGCGTCGGGCAAGCGCCAGGAGAAGAGCAACGCGGCATCTCAGCAAAGCCAAGGTTGGATGGAGGGGGCAAGACAATGAGATTGACCAACAATGACCAAGGAGCTGATAGGCGCAATAGCCCTAAAGAGTGAGGGGCAGGTTTGAGCGCTGCCTGGTCAAAACTTTTGCCCATAACTCAGTATTCCTGATAACTGATCTCAATTTTTCAGTAAACGGAAAAAATGAAAACGAAACTTACCTGCTTGAAAGTTTTATCCACAGCATAAGAGTACCACATGTTGTACACAGACATAAGCAAAGACACGACACAACAGACTGAAAGATGGCTATTGAACAATCTGAATATTTTTGGAAATCCAGAAAATAAACATGAAAGTTGCTATAAGTTGGGTCCGAAGCGTTCAAGTGGATATGGAGGTCGTGAAAGAGAACACTGGCTTCCCACAAGATCCCGTACTTGCGAGCACTTATGGTCCTGTTCGCCGCGGGTGATGGGGCGTGTCTGCGCGGGTGCGTTTGGCGCGCGCCAACCCGTTTTTTTCTTGTTCTTATTCGGTAAGCGAGTTTAGTAAATGTTAAAAAAGCATATGTTATCAGTCGAATATAGTGAAACGAATGCTGAACGAAGTACGATTCGGAAAACGAATTTAAGCGAACTCACCATAAAAGCTACTCTCGAAAAGATGAGCAAATGTAATGTTTCTGTAGACATAGAATTTAAACCACTCATGACCAGCCAGATAAGTAAACAAGTAAATTACCGTGAGACCCTGAAAAAAAAACTGTGAAACGAAGTAACCTGCGAATTCCTTCGTGAAAAATGAAATCACAGATGAATATAACTCACGTATTGACTAGCATCGTAACCCCATGAGAGGTAAAGCACACCTGTGTTGTACTTTTCCCAATGCGTAACAAGAAATACAATCTGTACACTTATTAAAATACACAACAAACGTACAGGAGACACGCTGAAAATGTCATTTTTGAAAAAAGGTCTATGAAAACAAGCTGAACACAGAAATGACGGCGCTAATCACCTTAGGGGGGGCACACCTGTAAACGCCGGTCAGCGTATCGAATCCCGCAAGCTGTATACATGTGAATAGCGTACAACCCTGCCAACACCCCGCAATCTTTGTTACCACCTCTCAAGCTCCCTGTGAACTCCTCTCGAACTAGTCAAAACGACTGGTCAAGATTTGGAAGAAAATGAATAAACACGTTCAAATGAAGCTATAACCCTTTCGCCAAGCTTACAGAGTACTTGACAGGAATTTAGAGGACTCGCAGCATTAGACACGACTATGAAAAGACAAGAGAAAAAGCAAAGTCAAAGGCACACATAGTCTGGCAAGCGCTTACAGATGTGGTAACCCCTCCCCACTCCCCCTCCACGTCCCCGAGGTCATTAGCGCCAGAAAAACTTGGGCTTGGACCAAATTGTGAAGGGAAATCACATGAAAGCAAACACAGTAGTTGAGGTTCTCACCTGAATTCACCGCTTCCGAAAACAGAGAACACAGTAATAGTAAATGGTACCGTGGACCAAGAGTCAAGACCATGATCAACTAAAATGAAAGACGATTTTAACTGATAGGGGGAACGGAATTGAATCACAGTAAAAAAATAAGTTTGAACTAACGATACAGCGAACTTCATGAAGCGAACATCGAGCCGTAAAACCACGAACATGGTAAGACTGCGCTTATACTTTGCGAATATGGAGAACTAGTTCCGTGAAAGAACCCGCGAGGAGGGCACACCCAGGAGTTGAGCAGAATATCTCGAAATACGATCCCCTTAAATGTTCTCCTCCATTACGACCCCCTCTCACATCCTTCGACCCATGTTCGGAAGAATGTTCCAAGTGGGAGACTACACGAATAAGGGGAACCACGATCTGCTGATTCGCATCAGAATCAATCAATTCCTATCCAAAAATCTGCCGCGTATTCTCATCAACGGCAAAGTATAAACGCGATCAGAGGTAAACAGCAGTGAAAAGAACGTACACAATTCCCCAACAGGTCCAGAGGCACCTATCCGCCTCGCTTGCTTGCCATCTGTACCATCTAACGTATAACCGATGAACGTGGCTATTGCAGCTGTCAACCAGAACCTTAATATATCGTACTTCTGAGACAATTTTGAGAAGTTCTCGTCGAAAGATCGTTTCAAATCGTATGCATGAAGTCAACATACCAATCAGGGATAGGATGATCGGAGCCTTCATTATTCGCTGTGAGATCATAGTCAAGCACTGATTCCAGCAAGAAACAACCCATTACAAGAGACCATCCGAGGAGCGTGAGAACGTTTGGAGCCCATGATCTCGGATAAAACTAAAAAAAAATCAAAATTGTGCTCATTATTCCAATAAGAACGGCTACATTAGCGCATTCCGTCATGTGAGAACGACAATTCTTTTTTCAAGATGATTACAGGATTTATAATGAGAATATCTACAGTCATATTCGCTGCGGAAGAAGGGGCGTGTCAGGTGGTATGAGCGTGAGACGACGCCAGATCCGTTCTTCACCAGCTTTTGAAGCGTTAGGCAACAGCTTTTGGTGGGAGACGAGTGGCGAACGATATTACACAGTCTTGTCGCTTGCTCGCTTCAACGACCGGTGGAAAACGGATTTGACGCCGCGACAAATGGCATCTCGCCCGACACGCCCCTTCACCCGCAGTGAACAAGACTGTATAAAATATGAGCAGAACTCAAAGAGGATAGCCCCAACTAGGTGAATAATCCCATGGAGGGGTGGGAGATTAGAGGTAGTCTTTGAACAAGACGGAACGCAGGAGTCTGACTCATTCAACCGCATGGGAGCTAGCGCAAGCCGCTGATCGCAGCGAGATAAGCGGTGCTACCAGTCGCACGATTTCAAACATAATACGGTATCACTGATTACATTATCTGTTAAAAAAAAGAAGAAGAGTAAGCGCGAATCAATTAATGAAATGTCGACGCTTTCCAGGGGCCTTTTGCACTTCCACTTGTCTCTGTTACTAGTTTGTACAGGAGACATCGAAAGTAATCGACGGGAGCCAGCAACATGCTCCCATCAAGCAAAATTGCGCCGAAATGTTGGTGATGTGCAAAGAAAAACTCCAAAGAATTGTGCAAGAAAAACTCCAAAGAAAACTCACAGTGACTAGCCAATTCCAAAACGGATGCGATATGTACACCGAAATAGGAGAAGAGTCGATACATGAGTACTGAAAAAAGAGATTTGACAAAGATGAGTATAAATAGAACTCAATGAAGTAATCCTCCGAAATAGCTTCTACTTCTTTTTCTACTTCTTATCAAAAAAAACTTCTTAAACCAACTTCTTGGAAACCGAAACAAGAACCAGCTTCTCAAAAATCAGTAGCAACCAGTAGCAAAAAGAAAGATAAACGAATCCACTCGCAGCAAATTCCTGCTGCTCTCTTTGAGCAGTTGGAACCTACTATGGCCATTAAATGGCACGAAACTTCACAAAAGAATCAGAGCATGTTCATTATGCGAGAGAACGTATCGCTAACCGTGAGGGAGGACTCACTGCATTGTACTAAGCGACTGGTAGAAGAAAACAAAAGTATAAATCCATGGGTGAGAATAAGTAGAAGAGAAGAACAATTTAGACATTTCAAATGAAATGGTTATTAGAACGGTTACGGGTCCAAGGAATATTCAAGCTTCTCCCCAACTTGCCCCACTGTTATAGTTGTTTCGATTTGGATCACTATTTGTTGATAGTTCATCTCTATCGAACTCCCGTAACAAGGTGGTTCAGCGATAAGGGGCGAGGTGGGCTGATTCCACACCGCTGAACCTCCTACCCTTCTCCTTTCCTACAGATTCTAGACAGCAACTTGGCCAATCGTTGGGATATGACAGTACGACCCTGGCGACTTGGGGTGCATTCATACTTTGCAGCAGGGTTTTAGCGTATGTCAACGATCAAGCGAATAGGGAGGTATAAGTGTCGATCTGGCGTCCTGAGCGTCCATAAGTGTTTTGAGCGCCCGTCAGAGTTTTCAGCATTCCATTTTCAGCCTGACTCCCCTAGTCACTCAAAACGCTGACGCAAAGTGTGAACGGATCACCCCCTTCCTACCGAAGTGCGGTCCCGCAGCGCATGTGATTTTCTCATTGCACTTGAGGCCTGCTTGCTCCCACATTTCAGAGAAAAAGCGAAGGATAACTCCCGAGCTTGGAAATCTAATAACAGGAACACAGCTTAACTGCAATCTTCAATCCCTTTTTCATGTTTTTTTGTGACATTCGCCCATCTGAACCCTATATTCTAGCTAGCAAAATGGACAACGCATGACTAGCTATCCGTATGAACGCTTAGTTTCACTGGATCATATATTTTTACTGCCGGAAAATATCGTATAGTACACTAGGAAATGAAAAAAAATAACGAGGGAACAAAATTTACAGTAGAAATTCACGTAGTGGGAAAGAGCACGCTGCCCCACTGACATTGAAGGCAGCTCAACACTAGAATCACGTGGAACTGGTTAAGTTTTACGAGTTTTCATGATTTCAATAACGCCCCAGTCACGTGAAATTCTTATGGGATTCCATGAACTTTTCAACATTACAACAGCGACTGAACCAAAAAAGTGACTTTGGAAAAAATGTATCACTAGACCACAATATAATAGAACTTTCTCATTCAGTCAAATTATACAGAAACCAGTCAAATCGTGCGCATGGTAACTGCTGCCCGGACTTTTCTTCATTTTAGTACGGGTGTGGGGAGGGATGATGGTGGGGTGTGTGAGTTTGAACAGAATAATGCAATTTTCGCCAGTTCGGACCCGAACTGATCGCCCATGCGAAGATCTGGGTGAATTTGTTTATGCACAATTGTTGAATTAGACCTTCGGCCCTATTTAGCCATTCATGCTTCGCTCTTCAAGGTTCGAGCCAGATTTTGATCAAAATTATCCCTCAGAAACGGATTTGGTCAGCATTTTGTAATCGGGTTTAGTTCGTCCGTCCCCCCCCCCTAAACTCCGTTCCACTAACGCCTAGGCCCAACAGCTCAAAACATGAAGTTTGCAGGAAATTGTCCCCAGGAGGAGTTTGACACCGATCACCAACATCACATTCATTTAGCGCGAAAATGCCTGCAGGCATCAACGCCAAAACTGGGTAGTGGTACTGGCGCCAGTACCGCCGGACTTTTCGCTTTGAGCGGATGTTGTTTGAGTCCTGTGGGTTCTAACCGTTCCGCAAAACCTTGACCTGACTAACAATAAGTTCACCTCCTGGGAAGGGTTTTGATCAAGACCTGGCTTGAATTCGAAGAAAAGAGCAGTAAACGGTGAATAGTGCCAAGAAAAAGGGCAGTAAACAGTGAATAGTGCCAAAGTTTTGAATCCTAAGTGAACGATGAGTCACAAATATAAAACTAGTCCTTTCTTTCTCAAGCTAGTAGGATATAGGATGATTCAATGGGTCCAGAACAATGCAAACACTTCCAAAACGAGACTAGAATAGTAAATTTAGATTTTGAGCAGAAGAAAAACGCGCCTTATTAAGGGCAAAGCAAAATCAATCCGATTTGGGATATCAACTGCAATTTAGCCCCCTTGATCTCCGGCCTGGATGGCCATCATTTCAACATAAAATTCAACTTTACAGCTATGACTATTAAAGAATATAACGATACCTTGTAAGAATTAAAGCCTTTTAGTTGCTCGTTTGACAGGTACTTGAAATCAAACAATCCCATGAGTGGTGCCGTAGTTCCCCGTGTCCTTCCAAGAGAATCTGAAACAAGAAAAAAAAAGAATAATCTGAAAAATGTCGGATAAAAATTAAACCGACACGGTTTTGTGTGTACCGATAACACCACCAAACTGCAAAAAGATCAATAGATAGCACTTAAGGAGGAAGCCAAATAAAAACCGCGAATGATCACATTGATAAGGCTTGATAAGACGGTCAGAGTGGCCTTTAAGCCGGCTCAAAGAGCACAAATAAACGAGATGCTATCGTACCTCTTATTTTTTGGGGGAAAAGTTCGAATGGAGCGCGGTATCTGCCAACACCGTCCTCAGATACCGTAACACAGGGATACGGTACTTGATCCGATGGGATAGGTAGACCGTTAATCCCTCCAAACGCGTCGATTTTCTGTTTTTCTCTGTGCTCTCTCACCCTCCCGTCCGTACGGTACTCCATGTTCACCGTAACCTTACATTCTTTTTTTCACAGGTGATGAAGTGGCTCCCCCACCTGGAGTCCCCTCCCCCTGAAAAAGCCTAGCCTATGTCCTGTCACGCACCATGTTTTTTGCACATTTGGATGCTCGGCAGTAGCTATTTCCAATCTGTCTGCGTGACAGGGTTTTGCAGCAGGACCATCCACGAAAGCCTTCTCCCATAGTGTAAAAAAAACTTGACCTTTTGTTTTCGCTGGACCTATGGAATAGAGATTTCAAGGCGCTGTTTGTCGACGGGGGGGGGGGGGGAGGGGGGAGGTGTGGAAGGGTGGGCATTTTTGCACTTTAACGACTTCCCATCGACGTGTCGACCCATCTAGACAGCCTCCTCTCCAGTTGACAGGTTTTACCATGATGGCTTGACGAGCTTGCTCCAGCTTCACAACACAAGAGTTCACAAGTTACACCACAGTGAGACTTGTAAACCAGAACTAGTGGGAATAAACTAAAAAGCTGAAGCAACGAAAGTGCAAAATGCCCCCCCCCCTTCGTCAGCATAATGCGCGATTTCAATAGTGTTTCCTGATCATTAACAATCCCAAATGACTGAGGACTCAATTCAAAATGGTACATAGTTCAGCTGCGCTACACTGCACTGCTTCTGCGTCCCCCTTCCGCAGGTCAAGGGTTATGGGGCAACTGTTAACTCGATATGCCCTCTCAAAAGGGTCTAAAGGCATTTTCGTGCTACCCCCTCCCCCAGGCCGAGCATCTTCAAGCAATATAAGAATAAGAGGAGAGGGAAAAGAGGGAAAGAGAAAGAAAAAAAGAAGGAAGAGGGGACCACGTCGTCGACATGTACCATGAGACGGCTAATCACAGCTTAGGCTTCAGGCTCAGACGATCAGAGTCGCCATAGACGCCGTCTGCTCCGGGGAATTAGCCTCGGGTGACTCTGGCTGTCTGCGCTCTACGCTCAAGCCTTGATTGAGGGTAGGGATGCCGAAGGGCTGCGTGGCTTAGCTGAGCTGTGATAGCACCGAAATGTGCTCTCAATGACTTTCATAAGCAAGATCGTTTGCGAGGAAGATGTAGAATTTGGAAAAAAAAAATAGAAGACAAGGGAGACCTTGTGCAAGGGACAAGGAGAATGAGATGACCAAGGACTGTGTGCCCCTCGAAAGGGCATCCTCAGTGACCCTCCACCGTTATCTCTCCCGATGGTCCTCGTCCTTCTGGTTTCTGCTGCTCTTGCCCTCCCCCATACTTTTCTGGTGCACACTCTAAGTTCCCCTCAAGGGCAATTATAGCATATGGTTCAACAGATAAGCTATTTACGATATACCATAAGAGCCTACCGGCATCCTTTCATTATTTGGATGGTACTGGTGGCCCATAGATATGGTCGTGTGTAACACTCGTAAGTATTACTCTAATACTCTGATAGTGGGATTCTGTGTTCCGATATCATAAGTTTACGACTTAACAGTTAGCGAAGACCGCCTGGTCTCACAAACTAGCTTCGATGAACGACTTTGGTGCCAGGGACAAATGCTCAAAAATCACCAACCACCAAATGGAAGCATCAAGCTCATATATTAGGTTGTCCGGAAAGTTCTTAAGCGTTTTGGGTGTTTCACTTTAAACGATCGTAACTTTTTTAATACTCATCGGATTTAATCGAAATAGGCACCATTCGAATCAGCACACTTTTGCCAATGTGACAGCAGTCGAGAAATCCCATCAAAGTAAAAAACTGGGTGGTCAAAAATTCACGAAATCCACTAAAGGCTTTTTTGCCTGGTCCACTGATTCGATGAATATTCCCAGCAAGCGAATTTCTGAAAATGTATAGAATAGTGACTTGTGAAACGTGTGGCGGGCGTTGTCATGCAAAAAGAATCGGACCCTTTTTTTGCATAAGTGTCGCCGATTACTTACCAAAGCAGGTAAACAGAATCCTTTTTTCCGTAGAGCGGTTTCGGCTTTTGAAAATAACCTCGGTGTTCGTCGAAATCCAACCACTGTCCGGAACGTCTCCTGTTATCATACATGACCCATTTTTCATCA